TTAACCAACAGTGCATTTATTTTTAATAAAAAAGTAAAATAAAACAACAACAAAAAAAGTGTTGAGAAAAATAGAGCAGAAGTAAAATAAAATAACAGTAGGGAGGCTATATATACAGGGGGGTACCGGTGCAGAGTCAATGTGCGGGGGCACCGGCTAGATGAGGTATTTGAAGTAATATGTACATGTGGGTAGAGTTAAAGTGACTATGCATAAATAATTAACAGAGTAGCAGCAGCGTACAAAGATGGGGTGGGGGGGGGCAGTGCAAATAGTCCGGGTAGCCATGATTAGCTGTTCAGGAGTCTTATGGCTTGGGGGTAGAAGCTGTTGAGAAGTCTTTTGGACCTAGACTTGGCACTCCGGTACCGCTTGCCGTGCGGTAGCAGAGAGAACAGTCTATGACTAGGGTGGCTGGAGTCTTTGACAATTTTGAGGGCCTTCCTCTGACACCGCCTGGTATAGAGGTCCTGGATGGCAGGAAGCTTGGCCCCAGTGATGTACTGGGCTGTACGCACTACCCTCTGTAGTGCCTTGCGGTCGGAGGCCAAGCAGTTGCCATACCAGGCGGTGATGCAACCAGTCAGGATGCTCTCGATGATGCAGCTTTAGAATTTTTGGAGGATCTAAGGACCCATGCCGAATCTTTTCAGTCTCCTGAGGGGGAATAGGCTTTGTCGTGCCCTCTTCATGACTGTCTTGGTGTGTTTGGAGTAACAACAATGTTGTTGATCCATCCTCAGTTTTCTCCTATTACAGCCATTAAACTATAACTGTTTTAAAGTCATCATTGGCCTCATGGTGAAATCCCTGCGTTGTTTCCTTCCTCTCCGGCAACTGAGTTAGGAAGGACGCCTGTATTTTTGTACTGACTGGGTGTATCGATAAATCATCCAAAGTGTAATTAATAACTTCACCATGCTCAAAGGTATATTCATCTACCAATAGGTGCCCTTCTTTGCAAGGCATTGGAAAATCTCCCTGGTCTTTGTGGTTGAATCTGTGTTTGAAATTTACTGCTAGACTGAGGCACCTTACAGATAATTGTGTGTGTGGGGTACAAAGATGAGGTAGTCATTCAAAAATCATGTTAAACACTATTGTTGCACACAGTGAGTCCATGCAACTTATTATGTGACTTGTTAAGCACATTTGTGTGCATTTTATTAATACTAACAGCGGAATGTAAATACAATTGAAATATATCAGGATCTGAAACATTAAGTTCTAAATGTGTGTGTGTGTGTGTGTGTGTGGAGAGAGAGTTTGTCTGGGGCTAAATGGTACAGAGGAAATTGAGAATAATTGGTCATGTAATATCCCCACTAAGCTACAACCACACCTCCATACATCAATCACAAAAATGCCCTGCTGCTTGGGAAACAATGCCAGCTCCTGTAATTACTGTGTGTGTGTGTGTGAGAGAGAGGACAGATTTGAAAAAGGCTTATTTGCCTTTTTCAAATCTGAGTTGGATGAGTCATTGAATAAACCAAGCTGAAGGGAGTCATACTACTTTGAGCAGTGATTCACATAGAAAATCAGGTCAAGAAAGAAGCCTGTTTGGCTGTTGGGAGAGAGGATGTTGGGGGCGCGGTGCAGAGGCAAGAGACAGTAGTCCGAGCTGACAAAGTGGAAGACATCTTGAACATGACTTCTTACCGAAAGAGTACAGAGGGTGAACTCCGATTGAATCCACACTGTAAACCCCAATGTGCTGTCATTACTCAAAACTTTTGAGGAAACCCGTTGACTTAATGTATCTGAGTACAGTTACTTGAAGTCATTTTGTAGTCATTACTCAAACCGATTTGCTAGTGATAGACATGGTTGTTGAATTTATTCATTTTCAGTCTCGTGGCCTTCACAAAGTGAGTTCCTAGCCAAATGTTATCTTTGTAATTAAACTCTTTATGACAATACGTTACATATCTCATACGGCCTTATTTTGACAGTGGCCTGAAACTCATGGTTTACAGGCCACATCAGCCCTGCAAGTAGGGTTGCAAAATTCCCATATCTTCAATTAATCCTGGTTGGAGGATTTCCTGAATTTTGCAACCTTATCTGCAAGTCGCATTATGCTGACTTGCAAAGTGATGTGTAATTCCTATTGGAATCCAGCAAGAGTTAGGATTATCAACAATTTACATTTTTATTCACCCGCAACCTGCATTCATAATGACTGCCAGCGTTAGGAACAGTGTGAGGGGAATACCTAAGCCAATTAAATTGGAACGACCATTTCAGTAAGTGGTGCAAAAAATATAACTAAATTATTGGATTAGTTTAGAAAAATGTATTTATATTTATGTAGCATACGATTGATTGGTTAATCACCCAATAGACACTACCGTTCAAATGTTTGGGGTCACTTAGAAATGTCCTTGTTTTCGAAAGAAAAGCAATTTTTTTGTCCATTAAAATAACATCAAATTGATCACAAATACAGTGTAGACATTGTTAATGTTGTAAATTAACAATTTCCCGAGTGGCGCAGTGATCTAAGGCGCTGCATCGCAGTGCTAGCTGTGCCACTAGAGATCCTGGTTTGAATCCAGGCTCTGTCGTAGCCGACCGGGAGACCCATGGGGCGCCGCACAATTGGCCCAGCGTCGTCCAGGGTAGGGGAGGGAATGGCCGGCAGGGATGTAGCTCAGTGGGTTCGATTCCCACGGGGGGGGGGGGCAGTATGAAAAATTTTTTAAAATAATGTATGCACTCACTAACTGTAAGTCGCTCTGGATAAGAGCGTCTGCTAAATGACTTAAATGGCTATTGTAGCTGGAAACGGCTGATTTTTTTATGGAATATCTACATAGGCGTACATCTACATCAGCAACCATCAGTCCTATGTTAGCACAGTTGAAAACTGTTGTGCTGATTAAAGAAGCAATAAAACTGGCCTTCTTGAGATTAGTTGAGTATCTGGAGCATCAGCAATTGTGGGTTCGATTACAGGATCAAAATGTCCAGAAACAAATAACTTTCTTCTGAAACTCGTCAGTCTATTCTTGTTCTGAGAAATGAAGGCTATTCCATGCGAGAAATTGCCAAGAAACTGAAGATCTCGTACAACGGTGTGTACTACTCCCTTCACAGAACAACGCAAACTGGCTCTAACCAGAATAGAAAGAGGAGTGGGAGGCCCCAGTGCACAACTGAGCAAGAGGACAAATACATTAGCGTGTCTAGTTTGAGAAACAGATGCCTCACAGGTCCTCAACTGGCAGCTTCATTAAATAGTACCCGCAAAACACCAGTCTCAACGTCAACAGTGAAGAGGCGACTCCGGGATGCTGACCTTCTAGGCAGAGTTGCAAAGAAAAAGCCATATCTCAGACTGGCCAATAAAAAGAAAAGATTAAGATGGGCAAAATAACACAGACACTGGACAGAGGAAGATTGGAAAAAAGTGTTATGGACAGACTAATCAAAGTTTGAGGTGTTTGGATCACAAAGAAGAACATTTGTGAGATGCAGACCAAATGAAAAGATGCTGGAGGAGTGCTTGATGCCATCTGTCAAGCATGGTGGAGGCAATGTGATGGTCTGGGGGTGCTTTGGTGGTGGTAAAGTGAGAGATTTGTACAGGGTAAAAGGGATCTTGAAGAAGGAAGGCTATCACTCCATTTTGCAACGCCATGCCATACCCTGTGGACGGCGCTTGACTGGAGCCAATTTCCTCCTACAACAGGACAATGACCCAAACACAGCTCCAAACTATGGAAGAACTATTTAGGGAAGAAGCAGTCAGCTGGTATTCTGTCTATAATGGAGTGGCCAGCACAGTCACCAGATCTCAACGCTATTGAGCTGTTGTGGGAGCAGCTTGACCATATGGTACGTAAGAAGTGTCCATCAAGCCAATCCAACTTGTGGGAGGTGCTTCAGGAAGCATGGGGTGAAATCTCTTCAGATTACCTCAACAAATTGACAACTAGAATGCCAAAGGTCTGCAAGGCTGTAATTGCTGCAAATGGAGGATTCTTTGACGAAAGCAAAGTTTGAAGGACACAATTTATTATTTATATAAAAAATCATTATTTCTAACCTTGTCAATGACTACATTTCCTATGCATTTTGCTATATTTCATATTCAAACTCATTTCATGTATGTTTTCATGGAAAACAAGAACATTTCTAAGTGACCCCAAACTTTTGAACGGTAGTGTATGTGCAAAAACACGTATTATAAACAATTAAAATCAACCTGCAGTATCATAACTTTAAAAAATAGAGTTGATGTGACGTCTTATTTAGTTCAGTAAACATTTTAAGTAATAATGACTTTTCATTGACTTTGAGTTCAACTATTAGAAGTATTTGAGTTACAAATGCCTTGGGGTTTACAGTGCAGCAGTGATGATCCTCGCTTGGTCAGTTCTATCCGGGATCCTTGGGTCGTCCCTTCCCTAACCTTAACCATAACCCTTACCATAATCAATGAAAATGTCAACTTCAATGGGGGTAGGGACGTCGCAAAGATTCCGGATAGCACAGACTGTTTTAACTTGAGTTTAAAGGAGGATATCCTCAAGTCATAGCTGACATTACTATTAGCTTACTCTCTCTAACACAGTTAATAACCAAAGGTAGTTAACTTCTAGACATCATTACCTCTCCTGTTTCTATATGGCTGTCCTGATGAATTTGATGAGACCTTTGCTTCCCGTGAGGCTCGTGTAGCTCAGGTTCTTTCAAAAGAGGCCTATTCCCCAGTGAATGTTAAATGGTCATATATATATATTTTTATGTGGGATTCTGTCGATTTATAGACGTTTCATTCTTATTCAGCTATGTCATTCATTGTTAAGGTGCCTGGGCAAACCGTTGATATTTCAGTGTAGGTGTTTCTGCAAACGTTCTCATTGTTCTTGACATTTTTTCGCCTTCTAGGCCTCTAAAAACCATGTGTAGAATTCTAGCTAATGTCATTGGCATTTGTATGAATAGAGCGTGTGTGTGTCTTAACCAGGAAGCTCCTGTCTTATTCTCACATGAAACCTATTGTGAGGGCCCAAAAAGGGTTGAGGAGTGAATTGGAGCAAGAGAGCGAGGGAAGAAGAGGGAGAATGACAGAAATAGAGGTGGTCATTCACTACACATTATCACATTAAGAATCAATCCCTCTCTCACAGGAGATAGCAGTGCTAGTCCAGCTGAAATTGCATTGGGTTCTTTGCAACACATTACCAGATGTAAACACATACTAGCAGAATCAGGATGATGTAGTGTTTCAGAACCAGAATGTCTTTTTAGACCAAGTGGGAGAGTGGGTGGGGTTGGTCAGGCCACCATGGTAACACCCCCCAATCCCCTCTCACCCATCGCCTCTTATTCATCCCCATAGTAATAGCCAAGCTCTGTTGCCCCGGAGACCACAGGGGATGGCAGGGAATGCAGTGTGCTAGTATGCACAATCGGGAATATGAAAAGGCAGTAGCAAGCTCCTGTCAGCTTGGTGAAACACATTTTGTTGCTGTACAGGCCTCCTGTAGCTCAGTTGGTAGAGCATGTCACTTGCAACACCAGGGTTGTGGGTTCGATTCCCACGGGGGGCCAGTATGAAAAATGTATGCACTAACTGTAAGTCGCTCTGGATAAAATGTAAAATGTAAATGGTGTGTATTTTCCATCTGAACTAACGTATGAGGAGTGAAATTGGGCTTGTACCCCAGGAGAATATAATCGAGGTTAATAACCTCTGAAGTTATACCACAACTTAATTGTGAGGCTACTTCAGCTGCTTTAACCCAGCTTCCAATTATGGAAAATCCTTCCTTTAATGTGTTTGTGTCTTGTGAGAGCAACCTAAAATGGGCTGCAAAATCATCCTAATTTATCAGATGAAAGCAAAACTGCCAACTCACTGAGGTCCTTCATATCCCAGACAGAGTGACTAGGCAATGCAAGCAAATTAAAATTGAGTTTTGTTCCACATTGTTGTTTTGAGTCCTATTTAGAAAGCCCTATATAAAAGCTATTTCCCTTTAATAATAATAATAATAATATGCCATTTAGCAGACGCTTTTATCCAAAGCGACTTACAGTCATGCGTGCATACATTTTTGTGTATGGGTGGTCCCGGGGATTGAACCCACTACCTTGGCGTTACAAGCGCCGTGCTCTACCAGCTGAGCTACAGAGGCTCTTGTTTTTTCCACGACCTTCCCTTCAGTCCTGTTGTGATAGGACTAATTACATGGTAATAGTGTAAATGACATGTTAATAACACATCAATAAACTGTTTTCTATCTCTCCTCTCATTCGCCCACCACCTCTCTCTCTCCGCCCTCCCCTGCTTCTCTCTCCCTCTCCCCTCCGTCAGGTCTGCCCCCCCCCCCCCCCCCTCCTCCTCCGGCCTCCAAGATAGATTCCCTCAGGAGTAAGGTTGAGCTCCTCCGCCTGCCTCTGGCCCTCTCCTCCAAGTCCATCAGCCACCGCAAGAGTCAGCTGGGCGGAGCCGGGGAGCGCGGCACGGGGGGAGGAGGGGCCCACAGGGGCAAACCCCGCCCACCGGCCTCTGACATGGACAACGAGTCGCAGTATTCGGGCTACTCGTACAAGTCCTCACACTCCCGCAGCTCTAGGAAGCACAGGTGGGTAACACGTGCACGACATACATACTTATGCTTTACATATACTCACACACACTCACTCTCTTGTAACTACACTCTCACTTGCGTAAACATACATATCCTACATCAGGGAAGCTGTGTATAACTTTGTTGATCTGGTTTAGTTAACCTCCCCAAAAAATCAAATCCATGACAATTCCGGTTAACCCTTTGTTTCTGTCTCGGTGTGTGATGTTCAGGGATAGGCGGGACAGGCACCGCTCCAAGAGCAGAGACGGAAGTAGTCGTGGAGACAAGTCAGTCACCATCCATGCCCCTGGAGAGCCTCTACTGGACACCGAGTCCACCCGCGGAGACGACAGGGTCAGAGTTCACTCCTTTCCTACAGTACATCTCCCCTCACTTCCACACCCGGATCTTCGACTGTATCTGTCTGTTTCCTGCTATCCTCTACGTTGGGGGTCAATACTTTACTTTAGTTTCTCTCTTTATTTGTCTAATCTGTCTCTTATCACTCATCCTCTTGTCCTCTCCCATTTGTTCAGGTATATTTCCTCTTCCCTATGACGCCTCCCAACATATGCTCAAAAAAATCTCTCTCTCCCTCCCTCTCCATACTCCAGGATGATAACTGGGGTGAGACCACCACCGTGCAGACTGGCACGTCCGAACACAGCGTCTCTAACGAGGACCTGACGCGGGTCTCCAAGGAGCTCGAGGAGTCCTCCCCGCTAGAATGCCAGCGTTTCCTAGGCCCGGGATTGGGTGCCGTCCTTGGCCTCTTCGCCCTGGTCACCCCCCTGGCCTTCCTGGCTCTGCCGCAGCTGCTGTGGCGTGAGGCCCTGGAGCCCTGCGGCACGCCTTGCGAGGGCCTCTACGTCTCACTGGCCTTTAAGCTCCTTGTCCTCCTCATCTCCACCTGGGCGCTGTTCCTGCGCCCGCCGCGCGCCACCCTGCCTCGCTTCTATGTCTTCCGCTGCCTTCTGCTGGCGCTCGTCTTCCTGTTCGTGGCATCCTACTGGCTGTTCTATGGCGTGCGCGTGCTGGAGCCCCGGGAGAGGGACTACAGGGGCATCGTGGGGTATGCGGCGTCGCTGGTGGACGCGCTGCTCTTCATCCAGTACCTGGCCTTAGTGCTGCTGGAGGTCAGACATCTGCAGCCTGCCTTCTGCCTCAAGGTGGTGCGCACCACCGACGGGGCAAGTCGCTTCTACAACGTGGGACACCTCAGGTGGGTCTTGGAGACGTGTGTGTTTGAGGAGGTGTTTACGGTTTTAGTTCACATGCTGTTTTGCATCGAGAATGGAGTGTGTGTTATAGTGTGTTATGTTTATTGTTAGTATCGGCCAGGTTTTCCTGTTTCTGCAGTTGCCATCTTACTGCGTGGGGTTCTGTGTTAAGGTTGTTTTGGTGTTTAGTTTTTGGTGTTTAGTCATTTTTAGTACCCTGGTTTCGGAGACGGTTATGATAACATTGTGGTTGGCCTGCGAATCAGTCAGTCAGAGATTAACCCGAAACCTGTGTTGCCTCGTCAGTCAGTTTGTTTAGGCTATTTGCATACAAGTATCTTCATTTGTTTATTTGGATCCCCATGAGCTTTTGCAGAGGCAGCAGCTATTCTTCCTGGGGTCCACAAAAAACATAACATGACAAGTAACAAAACTCTGGTACACTTATAGACAAGAACACTCACACAAATGTTATATACAAAGATAAACAAACAACAAAACATATAATAATAATACGAACAACACAACTAAAAAAATAATGTTGTATTGTCACATACATCGAATAGGTGTAGTCAAATGTTTTGTTTTACAGGGTCAGCCATAGTAGTACATTGCCCTTGGAGCAAATGAGGGTTAAGTGCCTTGCTCAAGGGCACATCGCCAGATTTAAGAATTTGCCGAAGGGATAACGATGATGCTGCTACTGATGATGATTAGGACATATTCCATAGTAATGACATAGATTATTAAAGGTTCGTCCCTCCCTTGTTGTTCTCCAGTATTCAGAGGGCAGCAGTGTGGGTGTTGGACCAGTACTACAGTGATTTCCCAGTCTACAACCCTGCTCTCCTCAACCTGCCCAAGTCCATCCTCTCGAAGAAGATTTCTGGCTTCAAAGTCTACACTCTGGGAGAAGGTAAGACTCGACTCGATACTATCCTTTCCCACTCCTCTTCTCCACCTCTCATCCTCTTTTCCCTCAGTCACTTTTCTCACCTCCTCCACCTCTGTCTTCTATGTATTCTCTCAACCCACAGCGATACAATTTCTTTGCTTAAAAAAGTAACATAATATTTTGATGTTGATAATTTTTCTTTGTGATTTTTCGTCCAGAGAACAACACCAATAACTCTACGGGTCAGTCCAGAGCGATGATCGCTGCAGCCGCCCGCAGGAGAGACAACTCCCACAACGAGTATTACTATGAGGAGGCCGAGATGGACCGCAGGGTCCGCAAACGCAAGGCCAGGTGAGGAGAGGAGAACCACTGGGCTGGGTAGATCATCAAAGACAGACCATTTCAATCTATTTGGTGTAGAAAAAATGCTTTTGTGAAAAGTGAATTTTTTCATTTGGTGAATTAAACAGTTCAAAACTAATCAAGGTACATCACTGATTTTTCAAACCCCAGGTATAGGAAGGCTGCCATTAATATTTTTGGGCAGATGAGATGTAGTCATTGTTTGCATGTGTCTGTAAGGTGGCGTTCGTATGTATACGTTTGCTTTTGTTTTTGGAATGTAAAAAAAGAAAGCAAAGAAAAAAACATTTTTATAATAAAATAAAATATTTTCTAATAATTCTTTATTTTTCCTTTTGTTTATTTTTTTACATTCCAAAAACAAACGTATACATACGAACGCCAACTTCCAGACATATGCAAACAATGACTACATGTCATCTGTCCAGACCCACCTGCTCACACCCCCATCCCTAGCGGCTGCATTATTGTTTGTCAGTTGGCCTTAAATGGTATTCGCCCATGCTATTTAAATATTTAAATAAGGCTTCCATTATTCTAGCTCCTCTCAGTTTAGCGCTTGCAATACAAATGCTAGCCTGAAACAACACCTGCGTACTCATAACGCGTGCCCTTTTCTCCTCCGAGGCTGGTGGTGGCGGTAGAGGAAGCCTTCACCCACATCAAGCGTCTCCAGGATGACGAGCCAGCCGCGTCGTCCCCCAAACACCCCCGCGAGGTGATGGATCCCCGGGAGGCGGCTCAGGCCATCTTCGCCCCCATGGCCCGGGCCATGCAGAAGTACCTGAGGACCACACGTCAGCAGCCCTACCACAGTATGGAGAGCATTATCAACCACCTGCAGTTCTGCATCACACACAACATGACACCTAAGGTGAGCCACCACACCCTTAACATGATCACTACGCCCTCACAACATGATCACTACACCCTTACAATATGACCCCTAAGGTCAGCCACCACACCCTTAACATGATCACTACACCCTCACAACATGACCCCTAAGGTCAGCCACCACATCCTTAACATGATCACTATGCCCTCACAACATGACCCCAAAGATGCCCCTCAGACAGTAAGATATGATTAATACACTCTTGACATGACCACTAGACCCTTAAATAGGACCTGTATACCCCAAATAACAGCCCATATAAGAGCCTATTCATCACCGTAAAGGGATTGAAATAAGCATGATTCCCTTGATGAATAATATCTAGCCTACTTAACATTCCCCTGAGAGAAAGTACTCACCACAAACACTAACCCATAGCGGTTGCCCCACTATCGATATGACAAGACGTCCAACCCTGGCTGACTGTCTATCTGATTCTCTTTGTGTTTCTCTCAGGCCTTTCTGGAGCGCTACCTCTCTCCAGGCCCCACGCTACAGTACCAGCGAGAGAATGGTAGGGGTCGCCAGTGGACCCTGGTGAGCGAGGAGCCGGTGACGTCAGCCCTGAGTCAGGGTCTGGTCTTTTCCCTGCGACGTCTTGACTTCTCCCTGGTCGTCACGGTGACGCCCCTCCCCTTTCTCCACCTGGGGGAGGAGTTTATCGACCCCAAGAGCCACAAGTTTGTCATGAGGCTGCAGTCGGAGACCTCTGTGTAGAGAGGGAGAGAAAGACAAAATGGAGGAGAGAAAGAGAAAGTAGTGTATAAAGAGGGGGGAAGAGAAGATGCGAGAGAGGAAGAGAGACTATGCTTCAACTTTCCTCAAAGCCCATCTCTCTCAGCATTGACCTCTGTGTGAAAGAGGGAGAGAAGACAGATATCTGTCTTTCTTTTCACACAAAGCAGTGGAAATGTGGCATCTGCCCCCAAGGGCTGGAGGAGAGACCTCTGTGGCTGTCCTGTTTTATTAACTGTGTGTGAAGTTCTTTGTGTGTGTTACTGTGTTACAGAGTCATTGGGACCTGTATGTTTCTCATTCCTTGGCAACAACTGGACTGCATTATTTGAAGTTGACCATTACTACATTACTAACTAATGATCTGATAAAAGATTAAAGATACATGTGAAGACTTGTTAAAAAAAAAACTAGAAAAGAACTAGAATTAGTTTCATGCCGAAATGATGTGCTTGCAAAAGTTGCAAATTAGCTATTACGTCAACCAATCAGGTGATTGGAATTTAACTCAGTCGACAAATAAATGGACTGCTTCCTGATAGTGGAACCATTTTCATTGGACAAAATCTGCTACCTGGTCCCAAGGAAGTGGGTTGTTCTAGGGACAGCTGACGAATGTTTAGGTAAAACACTGAACAGCTGATTTTATAAGAAATATAATGTTTGGGATATTTTTTGTGATGTTAATTAATGGATGTTATGTTGGGGACTTTTGATGTGTATTCCAGTGTTGCTTTTATAATGAAGAAGAAGGAACAGATACAAAAAACTGACTGAACCAATTATTATGTCATGATATGAGAGGATACTTTTGTTTTTTGTGCCAAATCCAAGTCCATACCAGATATAGGGCTCAGTCCCAATAATGTATCCTTTCTCCTGAAGTGTGCACTCATTTGCTACTTCCCATAAAAAACATTGGCTTGGTGGAGGCATGGGCTAGTGGGAGTTTCCACCATATTTCTTATACCAGTCATCATCAAGAAGTCACTTTTTTGGAAGAAAGAGAGATAATTGGGACACAGCCATAGTAATGTGTACCACATGACCACTGTACTGTTCTGAACATCTGACCATTGACTATGCCTAAACACACAAACCAACATATTTGTTTTTATTAACCTGTACTGCGGTTTAAGATATTATTTGTTCTATTCAAGGCTCTGAGGTGAACATCAGTAACAGTCCTTATGGGTCCAGCACAAACAACGGTTCCTGTGCTTTTTGGCAGCATAGAGCTAGTGTAGTCTGTCTCCTATGTTGTATATACAGTTGAAGTCGGAAGTTTACATACACCTTAGCCAAATACATTTAAACTCAATTTTTCACAATTCCTGACATTTAATCGTGGTAAAAATTCCCTGTCTTAGGTCAGTTAGGATCACCACTTTATTTTAAGAATGTGAAATGTCAGAATAATAGTAGAGAGAATGATTTATTTCAGCTTTTGTTTCTTTCATCACATTCCCAGTGGGTCAGAAGTTTACATACACTCAATTAGTATTTGGTAGCATTGTCTTTAAATTGTTTAACTTGGGTCAAATGTTTCGGGTAGCCTTCCACAAGCGTGTGAAGTGCACCAGTCCCTCCTGCAGCAAAGCACCCCCATAGCATGATGCTGCCACCCCCGTGCTTCACGGTTGGGATGGTGTTCTTCGGCTTGCAAGTACCCCCTTTTTCCTCCAAACATAACGATGGTCATTATGGCCAAACAGTTCTATTTTTGTTTCATCAGACCAGAGGACATATCTCCAAAAAGTACGATCTTTGTCCCCATGTGCTGTTGCAAACCGTAGTCTGGCTTTTTTATAGCGGTTTTGGAGCAGTGGCTTCTTCCTTGCTGAGCGGCCTTTCAGGTTATGTCGATATAGGACTTGTTTTACTCTGGATATAGATACTTTTGTACCTGTTTCCTCCAGCATCTTCACAAGGTCCTTTGCTGTTGTTCTGGGATTGATTTGCACTTTTCGCACCAAAGTACGTTCATCTCTAGGAGACAGAACGCGTCTCCTTCCTGAGAGGTATGACGGCTGCGTGGTCCCATGGTGTTTATACTTGCGTACTATTGTTTGTACAGATGAACGTGGTACCTTCCGGCGTTTGGAAATTGCTCCCAAGGATGAACCAGACTTGTGGAGGTCTACAATTTTTTTTCTGAGGTCTTGGCTGATTTCTTTTGATTTTCCCATGATGTCATGCAAAGAGGCACTGAGTTTGAAGGTAGGCCTTGAAATACATCCACAGGTACACCTCCAATTGACTCAAATGATGTCAATTAGCCTATCAGAAGCTTCTAAAGCCATGACATCATTTTCTGGAATTTTCCAAGCGGTTTAAAGGCACAGTCAACTTAGTGTATGTAAACTTCTGACCCACTGGAATTGTGATACAGGGAATTATAAGTGAAATAATCTGTCTGTAAACAATTGTTGGAAAAATGACTTGTGTCATGCACAAAATAGATGTCCTAACTGACTTGCCAAAACTGTAGTTTGTTAACAAGAAATTTGTGGAGTGGTTGAAAAACGAGTTTTAATGACTCCAACCTAAGTGTATGTAAACTTCCGACTTGAACTGTAAATGGTTGTATCTTTTTATATGTGTACCATATGTTTGAGACAATGGCAGCTTTTTGGGGGGTTTTACATAAGAATGTGTTCATACCACCTTCATTTCATCATCAACCCTGATGATTTGTAAGGTTTAATTTTTACAGCATTTGTATTGATATTTTTTTGTATCAATTCATGTTGTAAATACATTTGTAGATTGCTGTTATGATGTGAATGTTTTTAATATTTCATAATTTTAGGACTAAATTGTTACAGGCTTTTTAATAAATTATCTCTCTTGATATGATGCAATGTGGCTATAGTGTGCGTGCGTGGGTGTGTGATGTGTTGGGTTGTGAGTTCTCTATGTCAGTCACTTCTGTAGAAACGGGGGTGGGTGGAAAACGGAAGTGAATGCCAACTGCAACACTTCTCACTTCTGATCATAAAAATAACAACTCAGACTTCTACAGCATAGACATAAATAAAGTATCAACTTCTTTCACCAATTTCTTTAGACTAGAATCCCATTGTTAGTTACATGAGGCATGTATTCTTTTTGATGATATATTTTTTTTACTTACTTCCCCATCCCTCTCTGCATTTAGCAGAAATACTACGTATTTTAATTTATAGTAATATTGGAATGACAATTACACTTTACATTAATAGAATTTCAGAGAATTCATGCTGAATGTATAATTCTCAAAGGAATAGTGTGGAATAACCTTTTATACAGTACTTGTGACTTTGACAAACTGTTTTTTGACACGTACATTAACAAATAGCAGAATCGTAACCACAACGACAGCGGAAGTAGCCTTTGCCTCAACTCTGTATGTAGGAGAATGCAGAACAGTATCCATTTTGAAGGTTCCATTTGAATATGGCATGTGTAGTTCTCTCTCTCCTAACAATCTTACCGGGTAGGCTGCTTACTTTTACATTTTTGCTTGATTGGGTTAAGGTTCTATAATAATTTGAAGTAATGAGTGAGTGTTGAGGGAGGCAGGGTTGAGGTCAATTCTATTTTAATCAAGTGATTCAATTGAAATTATATTACAAAAATTTAAAGAAAATCCTCATTAAAAATACATGTACATGATCAATTCTTGAATTAAATCATCTCCTGAATAAAATGGGACTGACCCCAAACCCTGATAAAGGCACATGCTATGGTGTCACCTTCATCGATTTGCTTTTTGAACTCTAATGGTGTACCAAACATCAAGGTATACATAACCGTTCATCATTCCATATCACAACTAGTATAAAGTAGTTTAGGCTAATTTCACCACTTTGATACAATTTGTTTAAGGTTAAGATGTCAAACCGCCATTAATGCGTATTGCCTACGTCTCACCCCATGAACGAAACAGAAAATGGGAACTCAAAGAAAATTCTACACAACAAACATGGTCCTATGAATGACATAATAATACGTGTCCTAAATTCAAGTTATACAATACATTGACAGTTATCACAAAACCGGTTATATTTCTTTCAACTGAATAATAATTTATAGCTCTATTAATTTATGTTTATACCCTCAGAATATTGAATCAATTGATGATGATAATGATATCTGTTATTACCATAAGGATAAATATTTGAATTTTGTTCTATCTAATTCTGTGTATATTACTATACATCATACCACCACCATCAGGACAACCATTCCATTGCAGTAACAGATTGTCTGTTATGTTTCAGTGGTGATGGGAGATACCACCGGTTACCTGGGAGATTCTGTCACCTTGTCTTCTGGAGCCAACATATCCTGGGGCTTGAGCAAGATAGAGTGGTCCATATTCAAGAACGTCACCTGGATTGCAACTTACCAGAAATCTACAGAAAGTCTCAGAACAGACCGTTTCTGGCAGTTTAAGAGTCGTCTGAAACTCAACTTCTCGTCTGGGGACTTAGAGATAAGAGATGTGAGGAAAGAAGATTCCCTGGTTTACTCTGTTCTTCTTCAAGATAGTGCGGGAGAACAGCATAACAAAAAGTTCCAGCTCACTGTGACGGGTAAGGCTCTCAATCACAACAATGTACCCGTATTAAAGATGCACTCTGTAGGATTTTGATAATATTTGCCTCTAGGGGCGCACGTGAGCCAAAAACCCTAGGGTCCCGAAAATGGCAATTGAATGCAAGCTTCACCCCCAAAAAAGGTATTGTTAAAACATTTCTAACCTGTTTATCTATGGGTAACAGGGCATACGTGTTATGCTCGACCCGCTGGTTTTTCCACCAAAAACACAAGAAAATGGCCAAAAAGAGTAGAACCAGCTCACCTGCTTTTACATTATGATTTGAATATTAGATCTTCAATGTTTCTTTTGAGAAAATTAGTTAAAAAGGAAAGTTTCACCATATTAACACGAGAGTTCCGTTCACGTAAAAGGGTTGACCTTAAAATGAGGAACAGACATTTAATGTGATAAGAAATAAATAATAATCTTCAGAAATTACTTTGTTAAAGCAGCAAAATAACTAGGGCTTTACATTGATGGTGAACACCTGGAGAAATGTTGGGGTTGGGGTTAAACATGTTGAAATCTATCTAGAAATCACAGAGGGTGCACAGAGGGACATGTCAAAATACGGAATTTTGGCACATTCACACAGATGTATTTAATTTTCTATGAGGTCTATATTAATATAACAGGCTTATAAAGTGGAATATTTGCGCACAATTTCTAATTAAAATATCAAAGGGACGGCAAAGGTACTCATTTTGTGGAATAACTCTACTGTATTCATATTGTATTCCCAGTTTTGTTTCTGGAAAATGCGATTTCTATTCTTCCTTTGTTTCTGTTCAAATGTCCAGAGCGTCTCAGTAAGCCCAACGTCCATAAGGTCTTCAGCATGTTGAGGGAGAGCCACTGTGTGATGGCTCTTCAGTGCTCCTCTTCAGAGAAGGACACCCACCTCTCCTGGGAACCAGTGGCTGCGTTTAACGATCCCTTCTGGAGAGGGAATCCCAACACCAACGTCTCTGTCGTCTGGACGTCTTACAGCCCCAACAGAGATGCCAACTTCACCTGTACTGCCAGCAATGGGCGCTCTAAAGCCTCCAGGGTTGTGACGGAGAGATGCCAAGGTACGGTCACTTCTAGGGCCGAGATTCTTTCCCGAAACACATGATCTGACCAGGAAAACAGTGGAGAATTCATGAATCAATGGGCAGGGAGATCTTACACTGGTCAAGCTTGCTGTTGTGTTTGTGAACAGTGTTTATTTTACAGTGAGGTCCCAAAGTATTTGGACAGTGATACATTTTTTGTTGTTTTGGCTCTGTACTCCAGCACTTTGGATTTTAGCTTAAAGTGCAGACTGTCAGCTTTAATTTGAGGTGAACTGTTTAGAAATTACAGTACTTTTTGTACATAGTCCCCGTATTTCAGGGAACCAAAAGTATTTGGACAAATTCACATATACTGTATGTGTATTAAAGTAGTCAAAAATTTAGTATTTGGTCTCATATTCCTAGCACACAATGACTGCATCAAGCTTGTGACTCTACAAACGTGTAGTTTGTTTTGGTTGTCTTTCAGATTATTTTGTGCCTAATAGAAATGAATGGTAAATGTATTGTATCATTTTGGAGTCACTTTTATTGTAAAAAAGGTACTGGGCGTGTCCAATGGCACAATTTTAGAGGCCCTCCTCTTGGCCGCAGATATAAAAGTTTGCTGTTTTATAGCTAATTTCCAGCAATTCTACACATTTGGCCATGGGTCTGAGAGAACATTTTCAATTTTAAAGCTAATTTCCTGCAATTATACACAGAAAGACACATCTGAAGGGGCACGTGCCCCTGTGCCCCATATGGGCATGACGCCTCTGAAAGTTACAGAGGCATAAATATCATACCCCCCAAAAATGCTAACCTCTCCTGTTATTGTAATGGTAAGAGGTTAGCATGTCTTGGGGGTATGATCGTTGTGCCTCTGTAACTTTCCCACTCACTATTATTCACGATTCATTGAGGATTATCCATAATCATGGTAGAACCCACATTAATGTAGAAGTGTCTGAAACATATATTCTTATTTACAATACAAGTGAATCCAAAATGACACAATCCATTATTTACCATTCATTTGTATTGAGCACAAAATTATCTGAAACACAACCAAAACAAACTGCAAATGCATCCAACAAGTTTGTAGTCACAAGCTTGATGTAGTCATTGCGTGCTAGGAATATGGGACCAAATTCAAATTTCTTGACTACTTTACAACAAAACATTTGTCACTGTCCAAATACTTTTGGGCCTCACTGTATTTCTGTTCTCTCCCTGTCTCCTCAGAGGAACAACCCAAGCCTGACGTGGTGGGAGAGACCCGCATCCCTGGAATTGCTTTTGGAATGTTGCTCTTAGGATTTTTGTTTGGATGTGTTTTAACATATATTTATTTTAAGAAGTCAGAGGGCTTTAAATGACAACTCATTTAAATGTTTATCATTTCACAGTGCCTCTAGAATCTGATGTTGATCTTCTTCATACAGTGGGGAGAACAAGTATTTGATACACTGCCGATTTTGCAGGTTTTCCTACTTACAAAGCATGTAGAGGTCTGTAATTTGTATCATAGGTACACTTCAACTGTGAGAGACGGAATCTAAAACAAAAATCCAGAAAATCACATTGTATGATTTTAAGTAATTAATTTGGTTATTGAATCCATTTTAGAATAAGGCTGTAAAGTACCAACATTTGGAAAAAGTCAAGGGTCTGAATACTTTCTGAATACACTGTGTGTAAAATTGACTCTTGTGGCATCATGCTCCCTAAGTGTCACTAGCCCCAGAAAGTTTGAGTGTCTGGTTATTGATAGATGTGGCCTCATGCCAAAATACATATTTGTTTGTAGTACGGATTTACCACACCCTGCTGCAGTGACGATGCTGTTGATACTATTTCTGAATATTTAAAACATTTTCTATCATCTGAATTAGTTATTTTAGGAGATTGTAACCTAGATTGGTTTATCCCGGCCTCTGATCATTTGAAAAATGTTTGTTTTGATTTTAACCTGACTCAACTAATCTCCAAACCTACACGGATTAATGTAAGAAACCCAGCAAACTCCTTGCTGATTGACCTAATTTTGACAAATAGCCCCAACAAGTACTTATTGAATGGTGTCTTTGCTAATGACATCAGTGATCACTGTCCTATTGCATGTATTAGAGATTACCAAACAGAAAAACATTGATCCTCGTATAATAAATAAATAAAGTATCCCCAGGTGTTTCTTCATGATATGTATTGCTCTGAGCTTTTCTCTATCAGCTGCATGCCCAGCCTGGTCTCAGAGCATTTCATATTATTCTTTAGATAACTCTGAGACACTCCATTTAGTATGATATGTTACGTTTCGTATGGTATGTATTCGTTTGTGGATGTCCATCACCCATTTGGTATGATATGTTACAAATTACAATTCGTATAATATGTTATGAATTTTCAAAATGTACAATATGTCAAGAATTTGCTAAACTTACAGTATGTTACGGATTAGCTAAACGTATGATATGTTACGAATTCTAGCTAGGTGTTTAGGGTGAAGTTTAGGAGTTAGGTTAAAAGGGTAAGGGTTAGCTAAAAGGGTTAAGGTTAGCATTAGGTGAAGGGTTAGCTACAGTGGGGAAAAAAAGTATTTAGTCAGCCACCAATTGTGCAAGTTCTCCCACTTAAAAAGATGGGAGAGGCCTGTAATTTTCATGATAGGTACACGTCAACTATGACAGACAAAATGAGAAAAAGAAATCCAGAAAATCACATTGTTGGATTTTTAATGAATTTATTTGCAAATTATGGTGGAAAATAAGTATTTGGTCAATAACAAAAGTTTCTCAATACTTTGTTATATACCCTTTGTTGGCAATGACACAGGTCAAACGTTTTCTGTAAGTCTTTTCACACACTGTTGCTGGTATTTTGGCCCATTCCTCCATGCAGATCTCCTCTAGAGCAGTGATGTTTTGGGGCTGTCGCTGGGCATTACGGACTTTCAACTCCCTCCAAAGATTTTCTATGGGGTTGAGATCTGGAGACTGGCTAGGCCACTCCAGGACCTTGAAATGCTTCTTACGAAGCCACTCATTCGTTGCCCGGGCGGTGTGTGTTTGGGATCATTGTCATGCTGAAAGACCCAACCACGTTTCATCTTCAATGCCCTTGCTGATGGAAGGAGGTTTTCACTCAAAATCTCACGATACATGGCCCCATTCATTCTTTCCTTTACACGGATCAGTCGTCCTGGTCCCTTTGCAGAAAAACAGCCCCAAAGCATGATGTTTCCACCCCCATGCTTCACAGTAGGTATGGTGTTCTTTGGATGCAACTCAGCATTCTTTGTCCTCCAAACACGACGAGTTGAGTTTTTACCAAAAAGTTATATTTTGGTTTCATCTGACCATATGACATTCTCCCAATCCTCTTCTGGATCATCCAAATGCACTCTAGCAAACTTCAGACGGGCCTGGACATGTACTGGCTTAAGCAGGGGGACACGTCTGGCACTGCAGGATTTGAGTCCCTGGCGGCGTTGTGTGTTACTGATGGTAGGCTTTGATACTTTGGTCTCAGCTCTCTGCAGGTCATTCACTAGGTCCCCCCGTGTGGTTCTGGGATTTTTGCTCACCGTTCTTGTGATCATTTTGACCCCACGGGGTGAGATCTTGCGTGGAGCCCCAGATCGAGGGAGATTATCAGTGGTCTTGTATGTCTTCCATTTCCTAATAATTGCTCCCACAATTGATTTCTTCAAACCAAGCTGCTTACCTATTGCAGATTCAGTCTTCCCAGCCTGGTGCAGGTCTACAATTTTGTTTCTGGTGTCCTTTGACAGCTCTTTGGTCTTGGCCATAGTGGAGTTTGGAGTGTGACTGTTTGAGGTTGTGGACAGGTGTCTTTTATACTGATAACAAGTTCAAACAGGTGCAATTAATACAGGTAACGAGTGGAGGACAGAGGTGCCTCTTAAATAAGAAGTTACTGGTCTGTGAGAGCCAGAAATCTTGCTTGTTTGTAGGTGACCAAATACTTATTTTCCACCATAATTTGCAAATAAATACTATAAAATCCTACAATGTAATGTTTTTCTAAATAGTGACGTGTCCTATGATGAAATACAGGCCTCCCATCTTTTAATGAATTGCAAATGTGCTGACTAAATACTTTTTTTCCCACTGTAAATGGTTAGGGTTAGCGAACACTAAGTTATTTCCAAAGTAGCTAAAAAGTAGTAAGTAGTGGAAAAGTTGCTAAAATGCTAAAGTTGTCCATGATGAGATTCAAACTTGCAACCTTTGGGTTGCTAGACATTCACGTTTTACGCCCGACCAACCACCCTACTTTCATTTTTGCCATACGTAACCATCTGTCTTATGTAACCATACCAAACGTAACATATCATACTGAATGGAGTGTCTCGGATTTACATACAGAATAATACTTAATGCTCTGAGACCAGGTTGGCATGCCTTACCCTGAATTGGCTCTAGAACTTTTCTCATCTATTTTTATATCTCTGGCAGACAAACACGCTCCCTTTAAACACCTTTGAGTTAACAATAAAACAAATCATTGGTTCTCTATAGAACTTTCAGATCTCATTATGATGACAAATCAGACCTGGGCCAAGGTTAGAAAAACTGACTCGGTAGCTGACTGGCAGCATTTTAGGCAATTTAGAAATAGATCTTAAGAAAGCTAAATCAAGCTGCTTTCTAAGTTCTATCTCAGACTCTGCTGGTGATCTGTCCAATTTTTTGGGAAACCGTTAATGCACTGAAGCGTGGAAATTCCTCTCCTTCCCTGCCTAAGCAAGTTGTGTCTGACTCTGGCATCATTACTGAGAAAAATGTGATAAGTGATGCTTTTAATCAGCACTTTATCTCGGCAGGCTTTTTATTTGAAAAAACAAATGGTGGTTTAATTGACCCTGGTCAGTCAGTCGACTGCTCTTCCCTCTCCCAGCCTCCAGTTGGCTCAATGGAAGATCAGTCAACTTCTAGTGAAACTTTGTTTTAATTTCAACAACTTTCTACTTGTGATGTGCTAGATGGCTTGCTTAAAAGCGATGTAAAAAAAAATCCACTGCGCCTGATTTGCTTGATCCTTTCTTGTTGCAGATTTCTGCTCCACTGATTGCAGAGTAATTGACACATGCTTTTTAACTGACAATTATCTCAGGTGCTATCCCCAGGGTTTGGAAGGCGGCCCATGTGCTCCCTCTCCACAAAGGTGGTGACCCCTCCGACCTAAATAATGATCACCCTATCTCAAAATTGTCTTGCCTAGCAGAAATGTTAGAATCATTATTCAACTGTCAGCTAAGATTCTTCCTAGCTACGAGAAGTGTTCACCAGTTTGGCCGGGTCATAGCACCATCTCAGCTGCAACCTTGGTGTTGAAGGGATACTTCGGGATTTTGCCAATGAGGCCCTTTATCTACTACCCCAGAGTCCCTTTAAATTATGTGGTAAAGGGTATGGATAGGAGGAAGCAATGTGCTGCCCTCTTTATTGACTTATCGAAGGCTTTTGACACTGTTTATTGATTCAAAGATTGTCTGCAATCGGTATGGATCAGGTGTGATGTAATTGGTTACAAAATGACTTGACCGATAAGACACAGTGTGTTTTTTCTGATGGTGTTAAGTCAGGTTTCCTTTATATTACGAAAGGTAAGAAAACAGGGATAGATTTGAGGTCCTGTACTTTTTACTGTCTATATAAACAATGTTGGTTTATTTGCAAAAAATGTTAACATATACCTGTATGCAGATGACACTGTTGTGTAGTATGCTATTGCACCCACGGTTGACCGGGCTCTTTTGGAGCTTCAATTTGGCCTTCATTGCTTTGCAGAAAGCCTTTGCAAACATCTTGTCTGAATTTAAAAGTAATCCAAGAAGTAATCAGCTAATTATAGAAAAGTATCTGTAATCTGATTACAGTATTTTTGCTGGTAACGTAACGGTTTCAGTTACTGTTTTTTTGTAATCAGATTACATCTAACTGATTACATGTAATCGTCACTCCCCAGTCATGGTATCATAGTGCACTACGCATAATTACAGGCGATAGGTTCAATATGCGTGACTTGATGACTTGGAATAAAACAATAGCCATCAAATTAAACAAATGAAATTTACACAACAACTGAAATATTTTATTAAAGTAATGTGAATAAATGATGGTTAATAAGTGATAAGCATTAATGGGCAAACACTACCATCATGGGACTTGTATTCATTGTTTTATTCTGTGTTATTACAGCATTCAACCCACATAATCCATAGTCATAGTGCATTTAATGTCTAAAAAAAAGAATACAAACCGAAATAGAAAACGGTGAATATTTTTTAAAACCGAACCAACCTCAAAAAGCACTAATCGCTCAGCACTAGCATACTAACACTTCTAACTCATTACGTTTGTACAAATACAAAACTTCCAATCAATCATTCACTGGTGTGTCATCACTATAATTTCCATTCCGACATTACATGTA